ATAAGTTTGGATTTTTAAAAATAGTAACTGCTTCATGAAAAAAAAAATTGTTTTTTGGAAATTTAAAAGTGGAATTAGTAATTACTCATAACTTACGGGTCAATATTAACTTTGATTTAGTTAGAATACTCAATTATTTTGTTTAATAAATTTTCCAACTACTTAATTATTTTAATATGGATAGTTTATACAAAAATAAATTTATTTTAATTAATAAAACAATATAAGTTTTATATTTATACTTATTATTCACATATGTTTTTAAATATATGATAAAATTTTAACAATAATTATTTTATGAAATTACATTATAGTCAAATTGAATTTTTAAATAAAATTTTTAAAATGACGCATATTTTGAAACAAGTATAATGTAATCTACTATCAATACATGCACCACACGAGTTATGTACTAATTTTAAATAGACATTTTGATGTAATTCTGCACAATTTAAAATTTATATAGCATTTTTAATAAATCAATATAGGTAAATTTTATATAACGTTTAAAATATATAGACATTTTGATTCTATATTGTTAATTTATAAATACTATTTAATAAGAATTTTTAATTTATAAATTTTAATGAATATCTTTTACCTGTGTATCGCATGAGCTTCATACTAGTTTATATAGAAATACACCTTGAATGTTGAGGAAATCATTATGTGGATTGTGAAATTTGAATTCCATTCTTTCTCAAAATGCCCAACTATTTTTGTTACACTTATACCTAAAAAATGCCCATGTATTTTACCCAATAACTTGAAAAAAAAAAAGAAGGAAGTAAAACCATGCATTTGTTAATCAGTATTTTAACATTGGCGTCGTTTGGTTACCAGCGTTTCACATCAAAAAGTTATAATAGCTGTTTTGACCGGATAAAAACGCTGAAAATATTGTTTGGTTAGCTTGCTTTTTTATTCAACTGATTGGGTGAAATAGCTATTTTAGAAAAAGCTACATATACCGGCGTTTTGAGTTAGCGGATGAGGAGAATACCTTTTATTCATGTTTTTTTTTATTAATCTTCTATGCAAAATGAAATGTCCCATCTTTCATTTTTAATTCACTTATATTGCATAGGGGATGTGATCTCTGTTTACTTGCGCATGGGAAATATAATTTTTTTTATTATGATTCATTATTTATATTATTTATTTTTTGTAATTTTTTTGTTTAGTAATTATCATTTAAGTGTTCATAAAAAAAAATTCAATTTTTTAAAATACGTGGGTGGACGTATAATTCATGCATATTTTTCTATATATATTGTTTAGAATTTATATAAATAAATAGATAAAATATAAAGTTATTTACTTGTTGTAAGAAAATATTTATTTATTTTTTTTATAAATTGAATTATTAAATCAAAATTTTTAAATTTACAAGCCATAAATTATTTGATTTTTTAAAATAATTTTCATAACTGTAAAAAAAATCAAATATTCATATTTAGTAACAACTAAATTTGAACAGTTAATTTTACCAAACATTATTTTACAAACCGCTAATATAATCAGCTGGTCAAAAAAGCTAATTCAATCCGCTGGTCAAAACAGCTAAAATAATCTGCTAACCGCTAAATCTAACAGCTGATTGCCAAACAAGCCCATTGTATCAAGTAAATCGAAAAAAGAAATGCACAATCTATGCATTGCATGCGTAAGGAGTTGTTCTAATTTGTTTTTCCTGTTTGGTGTATAAAAAAAAACATAAAGAGTTACCATTATAATTATTAAAACTTCTTAAAATTATTTAAGAAAACCCTACTGTATCCTTGTAATGCTCTAGTAAGTTCTATAGCTAATGGCTGTTGTCATGCTACTCCAGAAAATAGATAGAAATTTGAATCACAGATATCCCACATCGAAAGCGAACACAAGTCTGCTATTTCACAAGGCTATAAAAGGCCAAGGCCTGATCCTGTATTAAGCATACCTTTCTCGGCCTTTTGGCTAAGATCAAGTGTAGTATCTGTTCTTATCAGTTTAATATCTGATACGTTGGCCAAGTGCCCACATGATATTAAATTAATTTTTTTAGGGGGAAGGCCAAATAGGTAGCTTGCTGCCTGGGCCTTTAAGTGTCGCCCATGCGTTGCACTATCGCACTGGCCTGACGCAACCCACTAAATCAAAGTATTAAGTCTTATTCTGCTATATTCTGTATTGCAAATTTTTTTCATAAGTTTTAGGGAAAATGTCAGGCCGAAGTAAAAAGCTCTTTTGCTGTTACTGAGTTCTTCAAATCCTACAACTCTTCTGGTGTCTTGTTTTTTGAATAAATTATCTTTTTTCATCTTTGCTTCTCTTGTTTTGTTCTTAGGACACGTCTGATGGAAAATTGCTTCGAATCGTGTATCACGATAGTTGATCGTGTATCTCGATAGTAGTTGGTTAGCTTCGAATCGTGTATCACAAATTCACAATAGTTGATTGTATATCTCGATAGTTAGTTAGATTCGAATTGTGCATCTCCATAGTTGGTTAGCTTCGAAAATTGCTTGCCACTCCTAAATATCTCGATAGTTGGTTAGATTCGATTGTGTATCTCTATAGTTGGTTAACTTCAAAAATTGCTTGCCACTCCTAACTAACTAATTAATTAAACTAACAAACCTGCCACTAAATAAGCTCACGCCCTACAAATAATTCCAAAAAAAATACTAAACTAACAAATTATCTAGCCAAATAAATAGTACTAACTCACACTGGCTAACTATGACTAATAATTAAACAAACTAAACTAAGAATTAGTCCTAAATAATCTAATACTAAATAGTCTTCTAGAAGCTTGGTCTTGAATCTTTTAGAAGCTTCTTGCCAATTTGTCGTTGAGTCACGCCGTGTTCGTGTTTGAACCTCATGTTGCGTGTCCACCGTGCATGATCTTCGGGCGTGCGTCCTCGTATTCGAGCTCTCGCTCGTCTTTCTGCCCAAGCGCGCATTATTTCGCCCCTTCGCGGTACCTCACCCGATCGCTTCGGCTCTCATCATTTCTCGTTCATAGGCATCAATGTCACTCCGAGCAAGACGTTAACTGACGAAAAGCTAGGCAGCTATTTGCAAAAATATCCTATGCGTGTTTGGGGAAATAATTGTAAGAGCCCTTTAATTGAATAGAATTTTCAGAGCCCGAGATATATAGCACTTTTTTGAAGTAGTAAATGAAATATAGCCATCTTTGTAAGAAACATAAAATCTAGCCATTTTGGAAGGCAAAAGTACCATTATGCCCTTATTAATGTTTTACCAAACAAATTAAAGAAAAGAAAAGAAAAAGGAGTCTCCCACACGCATTGTGAAGCACGCCGATCTCTCTCTCCTCCATTGTTCTGCGGCTGTAAACAGAAAAAAAAAAATCTCATCTCATCCCAAAAATCACTTAAAAGTGATTTCTTTTCAAATATCATCTCCAAGATTACCAAGTGAATTCCTTTTTGAGAAGAAAAAAGGTACATGAACATAAACCTAATTTTGTTTTTTTATTATGTTACATAAATTTTTTTTTGAACACATTCATTATTTTCGTTTCCAAAATTATTGATTTTTATGTAGTAACATTTTATTTTGTTGAACTCACATTTTTTTTGGAGTGAAAAAAATAGGGTTTTTGTGCTTTAAAAAAAGGGGTTGTGTTTTGGAGTTCATTACTTTTGTTGTATTGTTACTTGAGCCCTTTTTTTTGAGTTTAGGAGATGAATTAATGGTTTGTTGAAGAATAAATAATTTCTTAAACAAAAAAATAATTTTTTGAACAAACCCTCAATTTGTTGGTCAAGAAACTGGTTTTTTGAGCAAAAAACAGGTTTCTTGAACAAGAAACTAGTTTCTTGTTAAAGAAACCATTTTTCTTGCTGAAGAAGTTAGTTTCTTGTCAAGAAACCATTTCTTGCGCGAAAAAAACTATTTCTTGAAGAAATAATTGTTTCTTGAACAAGAAAATATGTCTTGTATTCATATATATTTTTGTCCAAACACATTTGAAGGAAAAAAAAAGGTGAAGAAATTATTTGTACTAAGTTTTTTTTTTCATTTTTTCAGATGGATGTTGGTAAAGTGCGAATTGTTCACAGTTGCTTTTGGGATGGTGATGTATACAAAAATGGTGAGACAGAGATGAATTTTTTCTGTCTTAGGACCTCATCATATGAAGCTTTCATAAACAGAGTTCATGACATTGTTCGTGGAGATAGAAACATATGTGACTACCGATTTCACTTTTTAGTGGTCGGTGATAATGGAGAGGTGGAGAAATGGCGTATCTCTTGTGAAGCAGATCTACGAAATGTGTCTTCCATGTTCACAATACCTACTATCTATGTTACACTACAACCGAAAGATAGTCCAGGTCCATATAATCAGGCAAGTGTACCAACGTACCCTTCGTATGGCTATACCGGGGGTCAAGGTGGGTTTATGAATTTAGTTGCTGCTCAGGGCCCACCTCTATATCCATATGGTGTTGTGTATCCACCTATAATGAACTTACATAGTCAACCATCAACATCTTATCCGGCGAACAATTACAACCCGGTGCCCGACACCACCAGAAAGATGGACTCAAATCAACCCGGTGCCTCACGTCAATCTCCCTAACATGTCGATTGGGGTGTGGATAGCGGGTTGAATGGGGATTCAACAGGGAATGATGAAGGTGATGATGGCGGGCAATATTGTGATGCTTACAATAATGAGATGAACATCAACGATAATCCTTGCAATGATGATTTATTCAATGAGATGGATGATAGCAATGACGATTCGGATTTCGTTATTGAAGAAGATGATATGCTTGGCTCGGAAGAAGGTGAAGATGGCGACGACAATGTTGTGTCCCCCTCAAACATGATGGGTGGCTTAAATGAGCATATTCTACGCAACAAAAAGAGTATATCAATCCACAATGTTCTTCAGCTTGATTTTTCTGGAGGTGTTGCTATTGAAGAGGACAATTTGAATGAAACTACTACTCGTTCGAGTAGTGGTTGGAGGATTCCCGAAGCCATTTTTCACAATGTTAATGTTAATCCCTCGTCTGAAGAGCCATCAATGATAGACCGTGAATTAGCCAAAGGCGTCATTCAAAGTAAGGAAGATTTGTTGGTAAAAGTGGGGTTATACCATTTGAAGCATAAAGTGGAGTACCGAACACCTAGATCTTCAAATTCTCGGTTAAAGGTTGTGTGCAAGCATAAAAACTGCCCATTCTTGCTTTCTGCGAATGCACTGACTGGAAGTAGTTGGAAAATTTCAAAATTTATTCATCCACATACATGCTTGGTTAACCTGAGTCATTCAGCCCCTCGACAATTGCCTGCAAATTTATTCATCCACATACATTTTTGCTTTCTGCGAATGCACTAATTGGAAGTAGTTGGAAAATTTCAAAATTTATTCGTCCACATACATGCTTGGTTAACCTGAGTCATTCAGCCCCTCGACAATTGCCTGCAAAGATCATTGGAACATTATTCGCGCCGAAGTTGTTGACAGAGGGCCGAGTATTGAAGCCTGCAGAAATTATGGGTGACATGGAGCGTGATCATGGCATTAAGTTCAACTACAATACAGCTCTGAGGTCTCAAAACGCCGCCTACGACTTCATTTATGGAGATCACAAGAAGTCCTGGGAACTTTTGCCGGCGTATTTTCATATGTCGATGAAGAAAAATCCTGGAACATCGGCATACAATGAGACCGATAAAGATGACGTGTTTGAGTATGCTTTCATTTCTTTTCATGCGTCTGCAGGCTTCTTCAGTTATTGTCGGCCCGTTATTGTGATTGACGGTACGCATTTGAAGGGTAAGTATAAAGGCATCCTATTTGTAGCAACTACAAAGGACGGAAATGAATAAATTTTTCCTTTGGCATTTGGTATCGATGATAAAGAATGTCATAGTGCGTGGATGTGGTTTCTCCAAAAGCTTCGCTCCACTTTTGGATGTCCGGAAAATTTAGTGATTGTTTCTGATCGCCACCAGGGCATAAAGTCTGCTATGGAGGTTGTCTACCCTGAAGCCGTACATGCCATATGTTCCTACCACCTTCGACAAAATATTTGAAGTCATGGGTGTAAAGCTGTTGGTTTGTATATGAAAGCATCATACACTTATTCTCCCGTTGTGTACGAAAAGTCAATGGATATGCTTGCGGCAAAATATCCTAACACAAAAAAGGTTTTGATTGATGAAGCCATTCCAAGTAGGTGGGAACGAAGTCAATGTCCTGTGAGACGGTATAGTTTTATGACGTCAAATGCTTGTGAGGTGCTTAACAATATGTTACGTTGGGCAAAGAAATTGCATGTTTGCTCATTGTTTGAATGTATTCGAAATATTATGCAAGAGTGGTTTCACAAAAGACGTGTCGAGGCAGAAAAGATTGAGTGTGAAGTTCCTCCATCAATATCTAAGCATTTAATGGATTATAAAAACGAAGCGGACCAAATGGAAGCTTCAAATATCAATCACTACGTTTACCACGTGAAGGACGGGGTCAAGAATTTTGTCATCAATTTGAATGATCGGACTTGCACTTGTTATCTCTTTCAGGTGGATTTAATGCCCTGTTCACATGCGATTAAGGCTATCGGGTAATTTTTTTCATTTTTTTTATTTAATGAAAGCCTCAACGTTTATATATTGTTATCTTACACATGTGGTAATGTGTTCCATTATTTTGTTTTCTATGCATGTACCATTTATAGGAAGGCAAACGAATCGGTGTATGGATATGTGCACGACTACTACAAGACCACAACATGGCGCAAACTTTACGAGCCCATAATCATGCCAATTGCGCATCCAAGTACTTGGGACTTAACTACAGTACCTAGTTTGATGGTTGTCAAATGCCCTATTAATCCCAAGAAGCCGGAAGACCAAGGTCAAACAGCATACCTTCTACTGGCCCTTCTTTGAGCTCTCGAAGTAAATCATTTTGTACACGATGCCATGAAAGTGGGCATTACTCTACAACTTGTGTTGCGTTAGTCCAAAATGTTGAGCAACCAACTCAATCTGGACGTCCCGCTACCAAAGTTCGTTTGTGTGGTAAATGTAAGCAAGTCGGCCACCGTAGGAACAAGTGTCCTCAAAACATTACCTAGTTTATTTATGGCAAGACATAATTGGGTTGTTATTTGTATGATTTATTTGTGTGTGGTTAATGTAATAACTTTGTGGGACATATTGATGTGTGTAGTTTTGTTATGTTTGTTGTAGTTATTTTTAAGATAAATGAAAGTTGAAGTGAAAATGAAACAAAAAGAAACACGAAAAAGAAGAAGTGGTAATCACAAAAGCAAAAAAAAAAGGTTTCTTGCTCAAACATGTCTTCAGCCGCGGTTTATTATCGAGTCGCGGTTGATGTACTCTCTCGGCCAACCTTGGTTGGGAAGTCAACCGGCTGTGAGTGATATTTTGAACAAGAAACATAGGAAGAACAATCGTCAGCCGCGGCTTAACTGCGAGCCATGGTTGAGGTTCTCTCTCGGCCAACCATAGTTGATAAGTCAACCGGCTGCGAAAGATTTTTTGAACTAATTTCCTTTGGAGTGGGGATGAGGGATAGAAGTTTAATATTATAATATAATTAATAATATATTAATAATTAATAATATATATTAATTAATATATTAATATTGTATATAAATTGTTCGAAAAATCGATTTTAAAGTTCAAAAGTAACATTTCACAGCCGGTTGAATTTTCAACTCCGGTTGAAAAATATTTTCAACTCTGGTTGATGTTTCAACCGCGTTTGGCCAAGAGAGTATATGAACCGCGACTCGAATTTTACCCGCGGGTGAAGATAGTCCTTGCTTGGGTCATAGTTCAAGAAACTTGTTATATATATGCTGAAGAAACTTGTTTCTTGAACAAGAAACAGTTTTCTTCTCAAGAAACTTGTTTCTTGCTCAAGAAACAGGTTTCTTGTTCAAGAAACCTGTTTTCTTGACCAAGAAACAACATCGCGCATTCTTCGAACTCGAACGACAATACCCTAAAACTAGATAGCGCTCTTAACACAAACATTGATATTGAAGAAACCACTTTTTTGAGCATGAAACTTGTTTCTTGAACAAGAAACAATTTTCTTCTCAAGAAACCTGTTTCTTGCTCAAGAATCCTGTTTCTTGAACAAGAAACCAATTTTCTGCTCAAGACACAACATCGCGCAATTACGACCCCATAAGCAAACCTGTATTCAGCCGCGGTTGCTTCTCGAGCCGCGGTTGAGGTACACTCACGGCCAACCACGGATGGGCTTTCAACCGGTTGTGAACGAAATTTTGAACTGTCAAATCTAGAAAGAACAATAACCGCAGCTGAACATCGAGCCGCGGTTGAGGTGCTCTCTCGGCCAACCTCAGTTGAGAAGTCAACCGACTGTGAATGTAATTTTGAACTTTCAACCTACCAAGTACAATCTTGAGCCGCGGTTGAACTTCCAACCTTGGTTAAGGTACTCTCTCGGCCAACCTTGGTTGAGATGTCAACCGGCTGTGAATTTACTTAGTTGTTCTTAGTTTTAGGAGATTTTAGGAGTAAATTTCACCAACAAACTCTATGTTGAACAAACTCAACAACATGAATCAATCTACACAAATTAACAACATAATGCAAAATTTGCATTATTCAATATTCAACATAGACTACACATATTCAATGATCATAGAGTACACATATTCAACCCAAAAACAACATTAAACCGAAAATCACATGTTCCATAAACATCAAAACAATCAAAACAAACAAAAACTAACATTAAATAGGAGTAGCATTTTACAGTCCACAAAAAATTACAAGAAGAAAAATAACTTTCACGGTGGATGAGTGGATGAAGAGGGAACGTCGGGTCCCATGGATCGAGTAGGGGCCAGTGAATCCAAACGAGCATCAATTGTATCTAACCGAGCATTAATTGCATCTAACTGTATTCGCGCATATCCCTCGAATGATGTCAATTGATTGAAAAATCTTTCCATCCAATCCGATTGCGTGAAATTTGTGTCGGCACCGTCCCCGTCGTGTGCTTCAGCATCCTCTTCAGTCACGCCAATTTGTTGCGTAGCCACAGACTTCCCTTTTGCAATATTGTCTTTAAAGAAACGCTCGACTTTGGGCCTCTTTTCGTGGGGGATAAGAGTAAAATTCTTGTTAATGAATTCACAACGAGTCAACTCTTTCTTGTCAATAATCTTTGCTCGTGTGATCGTTTTCATCCTAAGCCTCGCCAGATTCAAAATTTGAAAGTGCATTGCCAATGCCGTAACAAATGTCCTAAACGACGGATGATACCGTTGATGTGCTTGGATGTCGGCTAAGCTTGCCCAAATAAATTCGGTCGCATTGATTTTTATTTTTTTTTTATCCATGGCACACTTCATAATAAAAAGCTCATTTTGGTTCAATCTAGTAGCTTGATCCTTCCCCGAGACTTGATAAGCGATGAACTTCCCGAAAAAGCCTAAAGCAACATCCTTCACAAGAAAAAAAGGAGCCCCGTTTGATGTAAATATGTCACTCCCGGAAATCACCTTCCAATCCATTGGAGCCCTCTTCAGATAATCTATGGGCTTTTTCTTAGTGCCCACGGACGTGAACCTGAAAACATCTTTCATCACCTTGGGTGTCACCTTGCACTCTCTTCCCATCATCCTACATGTAAGAAGTTTGTTTTTTTGAATCAATCTTCATTGTGCTAATAAATTCAAGCGTTAGAGGGTGGTAAGCCGGATATTGCATCTCCGCATATTGCAAAAGATTGACATTGGTGAGGTACTCTTTTACTTTGTTGCCAATCCCGATAGTTTCTAAAAGTTGCCAATCAATTTTTCGATTTTCGGTGATGAATGATTCGTCAAGATTTTGAAAGTGCACGCCTTCATCCGCAAGTTATATGGGAAACGGACATGAATACTCTTTTTGAATATTTTCTCGAGCGGGATAAATTTGATACAATGTCTCATCTCCCTCTTTATTGGTGTCGGGTCCACTTTCCTCACTTTCCTCACGTTCCATGTCCTCGTGAGACTGAGAGTCCTCACGAGATGGAGAAGTTTCGGGAGTTGGTGCACGTTGTCTCGTCTTAGCCATTTCGTCAAACACCTTGTGGGCACAATGTCACTTATTTTTCACCCACCTACAAATTCACCACCAACACCACTTACAAATCAAATCATGTGTTTCCAACAACAACCAACAATTCAAACCAAACAATATTCAATCAAACCAAATTTCATCATTACAACAATTTGCATAACAAAATTTGACAAATAAAAATTTGCATAAGATATAACAAAATTAAAACATCAGCATAGTACAAATCAACGATGATAAATGAAAATTACTCTTGAACTTACCGAAATAGACGAATCGACGACGGAGAAAAGGAGTTGTTGACTCTTGAACGACGACAAGGAGTCATGGTCTTGTAGACGTAGCTTTGAGGGCGGAGGATTTGGGGCTGAATCGACAAAGGGAATGAACGATTTAAGGCGGAGGAGCGGCCGGGGCGGCGAAAGTTGGGGACGGCGGAGGATTTGGGGAAGAGAGTAGGTCTTGGGAACGACGAGGGTTTGGGGAAGAGAAAATGTCTTGGGGAATTAACGACTAATATATTACTAATAATATATTACTAATTAATAATATATATTAATATATTAATATTGTATATAAATTGTTATTTCGGTTCGAAAAAATCGATTTTAAAGTTCAAAAGTAACGTTTCACAGCCGGTTGATTTTTCAACTCTGGTTGAATAATACTTTCAACTCTGGTTGATGTTGCAACCGCGGTTAGCTGAGAGAGTATATCACTCGCGGCTCGAAGTTCACCCGCGGATGAAGATC